ATTCATTTTCTCATTCGTTTTATAACTCCCCCTACACTGTGCCTCTCATGTACAAGGCTCGCCACGTTGATGAAGCGCGAGCCGCCCCCATCCCCGTGTCCCATAACGGCCCACTTGTACGCTGTGAGAAAGAACCAGAGTGAAGGGGAAGGGGATAAAGTCCGATAAACACAGGGAAGAGAGATGGAGAGAAAACAAACAAAGAATGATAAAGGGAAAGTAAGGGCAAGTACGGAGTGTGGAGAGAAGATGAAGACAAAAGAGGATAAGAAAAGCCTCAAGAATGAATCTGTTCTTGACGACAGAGAGGACATACATTGTAAGGATGACGTGGATGAACACATGGAARACCTAGCTGAGCATTCTCAGTGCAACAATTGCCACGACGGGTGGCATTGAGCATGCCCACCATACACCCCCGACAAATGGCATGTCGATTGCAGGCCAAAACGAAAGAAGAACGGTCACCACAAAAGAGCATGCATTCAGTATAGCGCCCATGGCCGCAACATGGACATGTAGTGTCCGGATGCGGAGGGTGCCTGCAGTCAGGAGCGGAGGGACAGTCCTCTGCACTCATGGATGCAGAAACCATGTCATTGTAGTGATTGTGACAGAGATGATGGCGGCTACAGCCGAGTGAAACAGTGTTCGTAGCCATGCAAAGGAGAAGGTTGAAGAGTGTTGGTGCATTGTCTTGCTGCAGCACGGGGCCAGAGGAATGATCTTCGACACAAAAGAGATTGTGGAAGGTTTGTTGTGGCAAGAAAACAGCATCATTATGTAAGAAATCAGTGACATCAGTCATGGCATGGACAATGGTGCCGTTGTCCCACAGCTCCCAGTGGTCATAGGCATGTACAATGGCCATGTAGTGGCCAGGTCCATGCACAATGCAGGCAGCGATGTGGGATGGAGGATTAAACCACTCACCTGCTCGAGCATTGCGCAGTTCAAGTTGACGGTCCCTCATTGCTACTTGCAGGACAGCAATGGTAAAGCCTCCTTCGCTAGTATAATTACAATCCTCTGGCTGTAGTTGGGGAAGATCAGCATCAAGCTGCAAGGCGATTGCAAGGAATTCTGATGGTGTATAAAACGGGTGGTGGAGAATGTGAAGACAGATATTAGTTGTCGTCAGACCACAGAGATTGGTGAGTTTCTCAGGCTGGTGTGTTGGATGCTGGCCAACAATTTGCAGATCATCCAGATGGTGTTGCAAGCCCAAACTGTCTTGGGTTGTTTGCTGGTCAGTCATTTGCAGATCACCCATGTGGTCTACGCCTTTCGCAGATCCCCCATGTGGTCTGCGCCTTGTGGGGTCAACTGCAATCCGGGCAGATCATGTTCCAATCCCTCAGCATTCAGGGCCGCATCCTGAGAAGGGACTATCCCTGGAGTTGGGAGTATACTCTGGGCAGGGACCACATTCTGTTGTACAGGTGGGTCACGGATCTCTAGCGCAGAAGGGCACGAAACATGGTGTTGTGGCTGCCTGCAGGCAGCCAGACTAGTAGACTACATGCAGGAGGCATAGGAGCAGATGTAGCCGTTTGGAACAAAGGAACCCCGCAACAACCTGTGGAGCAGGCACAGAGAGAATTGGGGTAGACAAAGAAACAAGTTGCTGATCCGTGGACAAGTGACGATGTTGCGCATGTCGTCGACGATACACAATAAGAGGAGGGGTGGTGTTGCAGACAGAAGATGAGGATGTCCCTGGCAATGAAGGCGGAACAACGGGAGCTAAGGAAGCTGGAGAATTTGTTCTACAAACAAGACCGTGGAGGGGATGGGGGTGGTGACGAGGAACGCAGCCGTCTGCGGCCAAGCACAGAAAGGGATGAAAAGGGGGTGGATTGGGCAAGATTTCGAAACATAGGACCCGAGTGTCAGAGAGACTGTGAGCTTCTTTGTGCTGGAGCTGGGGCAGAGGAAGTTGTAACAGCAAAAAGTTGGGTTAGGCCGACGTCCGGCCCAGACGGACNGAGAGAGAGAGAGAGAGAGAGAGAGAGAGAGAGAGAGAGAGAGAGAGAGAGAGAGAGAGAGAGAGAGAGATCATCGATGACCGAGGATCGTCGATAGAGGCCGCTGTATGCACATGTTCTTTTGCTTTCATGTTTGGGATGTGTGTGCCCCTTCTATATTTACCATATGATGCGGGTCGCTCTATGTCCTGGTATAATTTTTATCGCACTTTTAAAACAAAGC